ATTGGTTGTACAAATGCAACGGGTTGTATTTGAAACAAACTCTCTCTCTCTCTATATATATATATAGGTATATATATAAAACTTAAAAAATATCTCTTGTAACGATGGAATTAAGCTAAAAGCATATCAGATGATTTTACGGATCTTTGTTTCATCTTAATGGTGCACATGCTCAGCAAAAATCATATGTCCGAATACTAGTTTGGGATAATCTTATAAGACCCTGAACTTACAGTTCTAAAAAAACTTGAACCATTTTATCTGAGAAGCAAACTTAATAGCTTATCATTTGAGCTAGACACAGATTTTTTATATCATTTGAAAACTCCATATATTGTGATAACCGTGAACTTTTATCTTAAGGTATTGTCTCACATAAAATTTTCTCATCTAAGACTAGCATTTCATGTATTGATGAATATATATATTTATTTTACAATGAGATTGTTTCATATGTATTCGGTTCACAATGTGAAACCTTTTTATGTGTAACTTTTGTTTCACAAACAATCTAAAAAGTTTCACATTGTGAAACAAATATATATCAATCAATATTCTAAATCTTAGTCTTTATGAAGGAAAAAAAAATTATATGAAATAGCACGTGATGTACTAATGTAATATAATTGGTTAAGCTTGGTTAATAAAGTTAACACAAAATTTTTGGTTAGTATTTGAACCAACCCATATATACAGGGGCGGATGTAGTGCTTTAAAGGAGGGGGGAAGGGACCCCAGTCAAAAACTCAAAAACAAAAATTCATAGGTTAAAATTTAGGTTTTACATGATTTACCTTTCGCTTCCCCCCCCCCCCCAATTACATTTTTCCGTGGGACCCCAACCCCAATCAAAACTGTTACTCTAACAAAAAAAATCTGTTGAAATCAATCAAAAAAACCAAATAAGTTATTCGAAATCGACAAAAACACTAAAAAATATTTCGAAATCAACCAAAAAAACTTTAAAATTCCCTCGAAAACGTTGTAATTAGATTAAAAACACATCGGACGATTTTGCGGGTTTTTAGTCTACCTTAAAGGTGACCCCACTGAACAAAAATCCTGGATCCGCCACTGCATATATATATATATATATATATATATATATATATGAACCAGTGAATGAGCCAAGGGAAGAGGTGGTGACTGTGAATGGCAACCTTTTAACGGACACTCCAAAGTCTTTCTTGTTCCACTCTTTGGCACCAGATTCCCATACCAACATTACTTGCTACGGCAGACAAGAAAGGTGGCTGTTACCATCAACTAAAACTTTTATATATATATATATATATATATATAGAGAGAGAGAGAGAGAGAGAGAGAGGGTTAGTTATTATACAATCCTTGACATTTGTGCAACCAATACAACCCAATCTCAACCGTCTATTTCATTTGATTAATATGTGATTTTATAGAAGTTTTGATTGTTTCCTAATATAAAGTATTRATCATAATTAATGAACTATATTTATCTTTCATAAWTATTCAAATCATAATAAATGAACTCTCATCATTTYCATAAATATCTYAATTTATTGGGTTGCATTGGTTGTACAAATGAGATAGGTTGTATTTGAAACAATCTCTCTCTCTCTCTCTCTCTATATATATATATATATACACACGTATGTATGTATGTATGTATGTATATTATGGTACACATATAAAGGAAAATCAAATGCAAACCACCTACATTTGTACAAATCATTCTTATACGTTGATTTTATTGTTTAATCTTTTAAAAAATTTCATGAAATTGTTTAATCTTATTAAATTTTTCATAAAATACTTTTTTTTGATGAAATTGTTTCATATATAGTTCTGAAATTGTTTTATATAATATTTATGAAATTTTAATGAAATTGTTTCATGTATTTCTCTAAAATTAATATAATGAAGATGATAATATCCATGATTGATACCCTTTACAATAAAAATGATTAATCAATCTCTCATAATTACAAGAAAATGAAAAAAATAAAAAAAATTATGATTGGTTAAATGAGTTTTGTACGGTTTATACAAATAATGTGGTTTGTAAAGTAAACCTCTATCTCTCTCTGTATATATACATACATACATAGATATACATACATACATACACATGTATACTTACATACATATATATATACACACACATGCATACATATATATATATATATGTGTGAGAGAGATTAATTAATTTAATTAAGATGAGAAGGAGTGTTCAAAATATAATAGTGGAGGTCATGAGCATGCTATATTGTGGTGCATCGGCAGCACCTATGTCATGGTGTCTCAAGGAGCATGCTTCTGGCATACGGCAACATCAACACCACATCATATATATATATATATATATATATATTACTTATAAACTATTATTGGTCAAATACTTGACTTTTTTTAAACTCTGCCGTCCCAAATGGATATTTTTCTTCATCTATCTTTCACCATCAATCCTTTTTTATAGGGTTGCATCCACGTAAGACTAGTTTATTTTCATGAAATATGTAAAATAATATTTTTATATTTAAAACTTCACAACAAAATATTATAATGATAAAAAAATTCGAATTTTCATAATAAAATCACTGTAAAGTTTGAAATATAAAAACCTTTTCTCACAAAAATAATATTGCCTCACACGATGATGAGTCTTCTATATTTTTCTTCATCTATCTTTCAATGGCCTCCATATCTACAAGAAAAAGTTGACAATTGCTTTAAATTGAGTGGACCAAAGGGACCTTATCTATTAATATATTTATATTATATAAAATGAAGATTTTTGAAAATTTTATTTTAAATAAATTCTATAAAATCTCCTTTCAAATAGAAAATATAAGAGATAAAATATGAAATTCAATAAATATAATTATTTTCTTATTTTAATTATCAAAGAAAATGCTTGAAATTAAATATAAATGAAAAAATTAATATTTTATATAATAATATATTAAAAATATTTTAATAGCATAATTCATATTGTAATCTCTAAAATAGAACGTTAGTTAGAGATTTTAACTCTTGATTTTTTATTTTGGATAATCATTAGAAATGCTTTAATTTCTTCTTTAAATGTCAACATCAAGACTTATTTTTTAAATATCTAATACATGATTAGACTTGATCCTGTATATAATTTCACTTAATTTTAATACTAAAAATTTAAATTAAATAAATATTTAGAGACAATCTTTGAATTGTTAAGAGGTGAATCTTGTTTGGTAAAAAAAAGTTTTTCTTAATGGTTATAAAATCCTCTGAATGATTTTGTATCCTGAATCTCCCTTAACCATTAAGAGCCTTAATTTCATTATATACAATTACCAAATAATTATATTTCATTTTCCACTATATCATAAGAACCTTTTAATTATTTTGATCATTTAATCATTTTGCACCAAACCATTCACCAATTACTTAAAAACGGACTTAGATAGCCATATAAGTCCGAAAACGATGAACCAAATTATCTGCCACTGGTCATCTTCTATGGAGAAGAACCCAACACGTCTCCTTCTTATCTCTCACTGGTTTTTACATATTTAAGAACCCTAACTCAACTTCAAAAGCTTAAAACTACATCAAGATGATGGTGAAAGTTGAGATCGTTTCTAAAGAAAACATCAAACCATCATCTCCAACACCACAAACCCTAAAATCTTTCAAGCTTTCCATCTTAGATCAGCTCATTCCTGCACCTTATGCACCCATTATCCTCTTCTATCCTAATCAAGATCATGGTGATGGTGCCACTGATCTTGATCATCAACTCCATACACGATTGGAAACCCTAAAGGATTCGTTATCGAAGACGTTAACCGATTTCTACCCGTTAGCTGGAACGATCAAAGACGATCTTTATATCGATTGTGACGACGTTGGTGCTTACTTTGTAGTCGCTCGTGTCAATACTCGTCTCCGTGATTTCCTCGAGAATCCTGATTTGGAGCTCGTAAATCACTTCTTCCCATGTGCGCCTGGTTTCAATGGGAGTGTTGCCGGATGTTGTGTGACGAATGTTCAAGTTAACGTGTTCGAATGTCATGGGATCGCAATCGCTTTGTGCATTTCGCACAAGATTCTTGATGGTGGTGCACTTAGTACTTTCCTAAGAGGGTGGACTGGTTCGAGTCGTGGGTCGAAAGACGTGGTGATCCCGAACCTGGGTGCTCCCTCATTGTTTCCGGCTAATGATTTGTGGCTCCAAGATTCGGCGATGGTAATGTGGGGGTCGTTATTGAAGTTCGGGAAGTGTAGTACGAGGAGATTCGTGTTCGATTCGTCGAAACTAGCTGTTCTTAAGGCAGAGGCAGCCGGGAATGGGGTAAAAGATCCGACCCGAGTGGAGGTGGTGTCGGCTTTGTTATGGAAGTGTGCCATGGCTGCAGCCGAAGAAAAGGTTGGTTTTCGTAAGCCGTCGATGTTGAGCCATGTGGTGAACCTTCGAAAACGGTTAGCATCGACGTTATCGGAAGATTCGATCGGGAATTTGATTTGGATCACGAGTTCAGAATGTGGACCGGAGTCTGAAATCCGAATCAATGACCTGGTGGAACGAGTACGGGGCAGTGTATCAAAGATCAACGGTGAGTTTGTGAAGAATATACGAGGCGATAAAGGGAGAGAAGTGATGGAAGAGTCGCTCGAAAAGTTGAAAGATTGCGGGACGACAAAAGATTACATTGGATTTACGAGCTGGTGTAAGATGGGGTTTTACGAAGCCGATTTCGGGTGGGGAAAGCCGATATGGGTTTGCGGTAGCGTGAGCGACGGTAGCCCGGTGTTCATGAATTTTGTCGTTCTGATGGACATGCGATTCGGAGACGGAATCGAAGCATGGGTGAACATGGATGAACAAGAAATGGAGATCCTACAACACAACCAAGAACTCATGGCATTTGCATCACTTGATCCAAGTCCTCTACAAACAAACCAGTTATCGGTTTTTTAACTGAATACCAACCCAAATATATGTAAGTAGGGTTGACCATCCGATCTAGATATGTTGTTGTCATGGGTTCGATGGGATCGGGATGGTGTCCTTTAGGCTCGTCGAGCTATCGAAACTGGGTTATACTTGTTTTGAACTCGGCTCGATGAATGAAACAAGATATATATATATATATATATATATATATATATATATATATTACTTTAGTTTAGCAGGTAAAAAGGTCGATATTATTATAGAATGTGTGTTGGAGGTTCCCAAGAATTATATGGTGATAGAACCTTCGTTTTCTGTTATGTATTGGATAAAAATTGTTGTGGAAACGAAGGTTTAAATGTAGTAATTCCAGACTACTTGTAAAACAGATGATCATCTTAGGATTAATTGGCTCGTTAGATATACAGGTTAATAAAAAAATTATATGGTGATACAAAATATGTAGACCTCTTGGTTTCGATATTAAATGACCAGAAGCGTTGAAATATATGCTCAAACATTTTAATAAAATTTAATGCCCTTTTCATCTATATTTAATTAAGAGTAGTGTTGCATTGGGCTGTAAATTAATCGAATGTTTAGCGAATCGTTCGTGAACTGTTCGACAAAAAGTTCGTTTATTTAATAAATGAATGAACATGAGCAAAATTTTGTTTATTTAGTTAAATGAACGAACATGAACAAGTGTCTTGTTCGTTCATTTATGTTCGTGAACATTTGTTCATTAACGTTCGTTTATATTCGTTTATGGCCTTAACTTTACGTACTCGATACCTGTGAATTGTGATGAAATAAAACAATTAAAATTCTATTTTTGTCCTATTTTACCATTCAATGGAGTAAGATATCGAAACACAACTTTCTCAAATCATCCAAATATAGATGTCAAAAAGCATTTTTATATGTATAGAAGTCAAAAAGTCAAAGTTAGTTGTAAGAGAATCTTTAAATGCCTTCTTTGACATAGAAAAGAAAGAGTTTTTTTTTTTATTTTTAAATACTTAAACAATTTTTCCATCTTGATCTTTTTCTCTAGTAGAATCAAAGGACGACAATATATGCTCATTCCAGCCTTAACTCAAGAACGCTGCCTTATCGACAATTTTTGAGTAGCCTTTGACAAAAACTCAAAAGACGTAAATTATTTTATGGTCTGTCTAAATGCTTTATCAGAATTTTTTTAGCAATTTTATGGTTGTTTATATAGATGATATTTTGGTTTTCTCTAATATTGTTAAAGGAATGATTGTCAGTACCGAGATCAATTTAAATTACAATAAAGTTTTATAATACAGAGAATTATGAAGATAACTCTAAAAGCATCTTCAATAGTTTTTTTAAAATAATAAAATTTAACTGTTTGTTTTCTATAACTCTCCAACAGCTTCTTTATAATGTTCTTTAAAATAGAGATTACATAAAAAAAAATCCAAATTTAGAGAATTTTTTAAAAACTCGATGTTAAGAGAGAAACGATATTTGATTCAATCCACCAATAAAATGAATTATTAATACTGTAAGGATACTCGTGTAATACATCGAGACACATTTCGATTTCAATGTTTCGTTTTATTTTATTTTTATCTATTTCAATATAATACGATTTTATGTGGTTTTGATAAAGTGATAATGCTCTTATTTTTTAATAAAATATAAATTTAAAAATATCATATAAAATTTGCAAAAAATGTATTAATATTAATATCAAATTAACTATTTAAAAGTTTTTATTTGTTTATTTTTTTAAATTCAAATGTTTTATTATAATTTAATTTATCGTAACGAAGTAGCTTAATTTAGGTTTAATAATATTTTTTTATAAAGATAATAATTAAATATTCTGTTAGAACTCAATAATTTTTCTAATTATATTTTAGATTTTTGATATTTTAAAATGAGATGTTTATCCTATATTTGATTATGTTTATCCGTAATTAGTTACACGAATTCAAACATAGAGCTTTAATAAGTTGTATTTATGCAAAATTTACTTGTAATATTAAATTTTAAGTAATATGCATCAATAAACGGTATTTCATGCATAAAAAATGGTTTTTAAGAGTTTTTGTCAAATAATTTATAATATAATATAGATTTTACAAGAACTTCTTTCTAAAAATGTATTAGAATGATAAAATAGAGAATATTATAATAAATGTTAAAATCTCCAAAATAGAGCTTTGGAATTGATTAAAAAAAAGGTAAACAACCTCGGATATACGAAGTAGACCTATCTACAACCCATCCCAAGTTCCCAACACGTTGATTCGATTTAGGATCGTGTAGACAAAAACCAGAAGACGAAAAATTAACAATTGGTCTTATGTCCGAGCCACAAAACTTCCCGTACAACCATACTATTCATGAATTATACATTACGGTGTGAATTTGCATGATTACAGGAAAACCCGAGATATGTGCAAATGTAACACGAAAGTAAGCAAACCCCATATGCATTATGGTTCGTTTGAGCAACAGGGAGTGAGCATCTTCAATATATTTCGATCCATTTGAGTCAATTTATCGACCCGTGGCTTAACATCAACTTGGAGTTGGCATGGACAACGATCATGACGTACAGAATGCTTTGAATTTATAGAATGCCTGCCAAATGCAAATGAAGCAGATTAAACATCTACACGCTCGTGTTTTGATTTGAAGGGCATGGTCGGTGTAACTGATTAAGCAAGAGACTGACCTCATTTGTGCTGTGGTTGACACTGGTGGTTAAGCCGGGCGGTTTGTGGTGGTTAACCGAGTAGTTTTGATTGGTTAAGTGGTTTGTGCTATGAATCCAGCGTCCGTCTCATATACCTCAGGGCTGATCTTAATGTAGCCCTGGCTTTCCCGTCTGGGGTGCACCCCGATAATACCATTTCCTCATAAACACGTGGAACCTGAAACAAAACCAAACGAGCCCAATATATACCATCTGAGGTGGGGTATTGGGGAGTGGGGTGTAGGCAAACCTGTCTTCTACCCCGGAGAGTAGAGCAGCCCTAAACCCTAAAAGGTCCCATTTGGTCGTGGATTTGGAGGGATCTGGAATTGAATTCCATTCCTATCCATGTTTGGTTTGAAAGATTTCATGGATTTGAAATCCTAGGATTTAATTAAAATCCCACAAACATGACGTTTTAAAATCCCATGGAGGTGGAGGTGGTTGGCATATCATGGGATTTTGTAGAAATTTCTATACAATAATGTTTTAAAATATGTGAAAAACATTTATTTTGTAATAATCAATTAATAAAAAGGTAATTTGATTACTTCTATAATTATTTACAATCTGTTTTTATAACTAATGGAATTTAATTTCATTCCATATCCTACAAACCAAACGCACCAAAGATTCCAAAATCCTTCCAAATCCAAGTCCCTGTCAAAACCATTTCATCAAACCAAACGCCCCCTGACTGTTTTGCCGAAAGTGTGTGAAAAAGAAAGCTTTCGGGTTTACCAAGGATCCAATATGGATTTAAATGTAAGTAGAACAATAGATTCCATACCTCGCTAAATTTCTCCACGCGAATTAAAGCTTTCATAAGAGTAGTGTATGTGACGACATCCGCTTTCAGGCCCTGTAATCGGAAAAGAATAACACTGAAATTAGTGACAGCATGATAGAGAGGTGAAACAGATGTAGAAAACTGAAGGACACTTGCATTTTCCTTCATGTATTGTAAAACTGCAAAGGCTTCAACGTCTCTTTTATCTTCGCTAAAAGCGTTGATTAATGCATTGAGAGCTAAATTACTCGGCTTCAGACCATCACCGGTCATGATCTTAAATGTATTAGCTGCTTGATTCGATAGACCCTGTTCCATAAACAAATTTTCAAGAAAAGAGATACATTAGAGCAAGAATTTGGGGGCAAGATTTCCGTTGCGAACGGAGGGACCAATGATAGTGCGCCGTGTGTCCAGGACATTCATCATGAATGTTGTGAAAATTTCACGTCCATTATTTGTGATGAATGAGGACAAGTTTCGCGTTCTCGGTTGTTCCGCAGTTCGCTACTGAACTTTCCTCTTAAAGTGTAAACCAGAAAGTCAAAGTGGTATCTTCAATTAAAAAGAAAAAATGTTGATGTTCTTACACTGATCTTGTTATGCTCTACAGTTCCAAGATGCAAGTTTTTTTTATAATTTCAAATAATCATTTGCAATAACCCCAAAAAAATGTATTTTCACTTCATTGAAACATGTGTCTTAAGTAATTACTGTATGGAATCCAATGTGATTTATATATCCAAATTTTGCAACACAATGTCATTTTAAATCTAAGTAATTGAAGTTGTTTCTTGGTTTTTATGCATATGTGCATACCGTCCAGAAGAACGGTTATGTCACACCAAACAGGGACAACTAGTTTTTGTTATGTATGCACATGTCCATGCTGTCAGTTTTTCATTTTTTGGGGTTTCCCCTAGTACATACATATGAAAAATGGACAAAGAAAGGAGGCATCGAGCGTACCCTTTGTGCATAGGCATTAATCAACGCATTATACATGGTTAACGATGGCTTCAAACCAGCAGACTTCATCACCTCCAAGCACTCGATAGCATCATTGTACCTCCCCGACTTCCCATATACGTCAACCAGTGTAGTATAAGTGACAATATTAGGTAGCAAACCGTCACTTTGCATCTTCCCCAACAAGCTCTTTACTTTCTCCCATTTCTCTTGCTGCCCAAACAAGTTGATCATTATATTATAAGTGGTCTCACAAGGCAAACACCCACTTTGCTGCATTTCATCGAACAGCTTCTCTGCTTTCTCATGCTGCCCAGATTTACAATGGCAATCTATAAGTGTATTCCAAGTAACAGTATCAGGCTCAATCCCTTCAACTTTCATCCTCTCCACTGTCGCCATTACATGATCAAGAATGTTTTTCTTTCCAAAAGTATCGATCATAACATTATAGAACTGTCTATCTGGTTTAACTCCACAACTCTGCATCTCTTTTAATACTTTAAATGATTTCTGCCACTCCCCTCGATCACGATAACTAGCTAAAATCCTACTAAAAACAAATGAATTTGGCTTCACATCGTTAGATTCCATCTCTTTCAGCACAATTCGTGCACTCTCCCATCTACCTGCGTTCCCATAAGCATCGATCAAAAGACTGTAAGTATGTTCATCTGGCAAAACCCCATTCTTCTCCATTTCACTCACTATCCACTCTGCATCTTTCAAACTACCATTTTTCACATACCCCTTTAATACAGCATTGTAAGCTCTAGTTCTGGGTTTCAATTCACCTTCTTTGATTTCTTCAAAAACTGCCTCAGCCTCCTCCGCTCTTCCCAAATTCCCCAATTCGGAAATCAGCGAAACCATAGTTGAAGTCCTGGGATTCATCCCTTTCCCTTGAATTACACCTAAAAAGTACATAGCTCTATCAACATCACCTGATTTAGCAAACCCTAAAACTATATCATTCAACAATTGCCAATCTAGCTCGATAGCATCCGATATCATTTCATCATACAATTTCTCCAAAATCCCCGAATCGATCTTATTACTACGAACTAAAGACTGAATAATTAAACTGTAATTCACAAAATCTGACTGGTAACCCTCCCGTCGCATCCTGTTCATCAAATTTATAGCTTTCTCCAGTTCATCGTTACGCGCACATGCACCAATTAGGGCATTATAGGTTAATGGAGTTAATGTTTGTCTCTGAGCTAATAAGAAAGCTTCATATAGCTTCTCGGAGCGTCCGAGCGCGTGGATTAATATCGAGTAGAGCAATTCATATGAGAAACAGAGATTATGCTTCTGGAGCCACGTAACGAGTGCATAGCCGATCGAGAATGAGGATTTTGAAGAAGGTGAAGATGTTAGGGATTTGAGAAGGGCGTGCCATAGCGGAGCTGGGACAACTCGGTATGACTCAGCAAGCCGTAACTCGGCCTGGTCGAGTGAGGCGGGTGAGTTGGATGAGGCAGAGTCGGAGTCGGAGTTGTAGGTGGAGAGAAACTGAAGGAGAGGTGAGAAATCGTAACGGCGGTGGGGGTAGAGAGAAACGACGTCGGCTTGTGTAATTGTATCATCTTCAGATAAGGAGGAAGAAGAAGATAAACGGAGAGATGAGTTGTTGACGTAAAAGGCCGTCGAGGAGAGTGGTTGTGACAGTGGTTGGTAACGGTTGCGGTGGCGGAGGAAGCGGTTGGTGGTGGATAAGGGCGGAGGGAGGAGGAGAGCGTTCATTTTCTACAGTTTTTTTCAAAACTGTTGGGTGGTCGGAAAACAGGATGGACATTCATATGTTGGATAAGTTACATATTCAGTCCCTAAACTATGAGGTATTAACAGTTTTAACCTCTTAGAATTTATGATATTCTCGCCCAAACATACAGATTGCCTAAACAGGATGGACATTCATATATTTGAGAAGTTACGTATTCAGTCCCTAAACTATGAGGTATTTACAGTTTTAACCTTCGACTTCCCTTTTCGTCCATGTGGTTTGTAGAGAATTGTTATATTCGTCCAAATGTTTTTCAAATTATGATTTTCATTTCTATGGTTAAAAATCATAGGAATGTATATAGTTTAAAATCCAACAGATTTATATGGATCTGATTTGAATAGGGGTGTATGTGGGTTGGGTTGGACGGTTTACAACATTTTTACAACCCTACCCAATTATGACGGTTTGGAAAAAAAATTTAACCCAACCCAACCCTTGCGTGTTAGGTTGGGTTGACGGGTTAGTAGTTACATAAATTTGACGAATGAAAATAATTCATAAAACTTAAGTTTATAAACCATATTATTAAACGTTCTATCTAAAATGGTTACAATAGTTTTACATAACGTTTTTGGACACTTCAATAAGTGTTTTAGAATGATTTTTAAATAAAATATCGTATTAGTTATTTTATATAAATATTTTGAGAAGTGGCCCTAAAACTCATCTATTTATAGGACACCTATGTTCATATACACTTTTCACGTCGTGTCATATAAAATAACTAATATGATACTTTATTTTAAAAACGTCATAGAATTTGTTAGGACGTCCAAAATCATCCTATAAACATATTGTAACTCTTTTAAATAAAACATTTTTCTTGTTTCGTCCTATAAAGAATCATATTAGGACACTTAGACATTTTAGGCATCCTATAAGATCTAATGTTGTTGTAGCGAAATGCTATAACTAAACATTTTATTTCCAATAAAGTACAACATCAAATGACGGGGTATTTAGATTGATGGATTCGTCAACAAAATATCTATCAGTATCATTCATATTCTCTGACATATCAATTTGTTGTTGTTGCAAAAAAGATTTCAATAATTTTCTCTTATTAATTAAATTATTTGTCATCATTCTTTCATCGCGAATCTTTTTTGGTAACCTATACGTTTACTTAAAATGAAATATAAACATAATATCAATAAAAAGTATACATTAATATATATATATATATATATATATATATAAATTTATAAAAATTATATATTAGCGATGGTTTGGCGGATTGAGCTAGGCCCAACCCAATTTCAACTATCCTAATTAGCGGGTTAGGGGTTTGGCGTGTAGGCGGTTAGACGGGTTGAATTTAATTGGGTTGTTAGCGGGTTGGGTTGGACGGATTTTGCGGGTTAACGGTTTTTTATGCACCCCTAGATCTGATCCAATCAGTCGATATAAGTTTGATTTTGTCATTCAATCGGTTTCATCCATTAGATCCTGCTATTGGATTTTGTCATTCAAATTGGATAATAATTTCATTGGATCAGTTCGATTCTATTGAATTATGGACTGTAATCTAAGAGCTGACCAATCCAATTTGAATCTAATTCGGTCCAATTACAATTGCATATCTGATTATTGTCGATTAATTTTAATTAAATTCATTGATTTAAATTGAATCAGATGACTTTATGCACAGTTTTATACAATTTATTACTGTTTTTTCTTTATGATTTCCACCATATCGGACAAAAGTCCCTATATTTAACAAGTCCATGTTTTATCTTATAAAAGTGGCTTCTGTGTCTCGCTGGACCGAATTCCAAAAACTGCTAATGAATTTGTTGCAGAAAGAATCAATCTTCATCAAACAAACTCCATGGCTAGTGAAGGTTAGCCTTCATAGATCTTGTTTCTTTCATTTTTGTATACTTTGAAAGTCTTAGAGAGAGAAAGGGTGAAAGAATCGTGCTCTACCGCCGCCACCACCGTTATTCATGGATGGTCACCGGCGGCGCCATACCCACAAGCATAATTGGTTCCGTTACCTAATTCCGGCCATTTCTGCCATCTCCGGTGCCATTCTCCTCCTCTACTGTTTCCTCTCTTTTCTCGCCCCTTCTCCTGATCATCATCTTCACCACTTTGGACGACGCCATAGCTCAGTAAGTTCGCTCTCTTTCAAATTATTAGCAAAAATCACAGCCATTTGCATACGGGTACTTGCTTAATAGATTAAATTCTCTTTATTCTTCAATTTTTTTCTTGATTTCAGTTCGATCATACCGCCATTGATGATGATACACCTACAGTTCCTTCAGTCTTCAAAGTTCCAGTGAGCTTTTTCGCCATTAATTTCTATTGCTTATATTGGGATATCATATGAATGCTTGTAATCTAGCTATCAAATCTTGACTAGATCCAAAATTGTTATATAATCTCATTCAATTATGATTCATTTATCATTTTGTTTGAGATCTAGACCAGTGGCAAGATGATTAGCGACCGAAATCTTTGGAGTACATCGATGTCGAAGTTCTATTTCGGATGTAGTAATGCCAGCAGTCAGTTTCCAAGTAAATGGTTTTCGAATTAGTTTCAGTAAAAATGTGTTCTTTCTTTCTTGTAGTCCTTTCGGCTAAACAGGTTCATTTTGGGTGTTTTTCTTTAACCACAGAAGCTCAAGCAGTTACACGGCCCAATCGATACTTGCTGATTGCTACCAGTGGAGGTTTAAACCAACAAAGAACTGGGGTAAGTTCTTTATATTCTTTAAGGAATGTATTCGTTGGGAGGTTTTTATGTTTATGGAAACAACTGCCCTACTTTTTGGGGTCGAGGACAGATCTGCATACATTTGGTTTCATGTGTCTGTTTTTCTCAGATAACAGATGCTGTTGTTGCTGCACGCATTCTAAATGCTACTCTCGTTGTGCCTAAGCTCGATAAAAAATCTTTCTGGAAGGATGCTAGGTTAGCAGTCGATAAATCTGTTAATAAACAGAATGTGCTTATAGATCTCTTAGTTGGATGTAACTTGTATAATGCGTTTCTTGTACAGCACTTTTTCGGAGATATTTGATGTTGATTGGTTTATATCACATCTATCGAGAGATGTTAAGATTATAAGAGAACTTCCTCATAAGGGTGGCAGGAAATGGTCTCCGTATAGCACGCGTGTGCCTAGAAAGTGTAACGAAAGATGCTATCATATTCGTGTCCTACCTCTATTTTCAAAGAAGCGTGTAAGTCACTCTTCTCTAAAACTCTATCATCTTCATTATATCTGTTTTATAAAGCATACCACCAGGGTCGTTCCAATCATTTTGGAGGCCCGGTTACATCTGTACCGAAACTATTGGAAGGCGGGTTATAGATTAGGATTCTGCTACAAAAGTTGAAGCATTGCCCCAAGACTCGAACACATGTGAAATTAGGCCCCAAAATTTTGTGGGTCGTGTTCAGAATTCCACATTTAACATGCTAAGGAATGGCCGGAGTACCATTTGCATGATTTATATCAAAATGTCGCTAAGATGAAATGTATTAATTTTGGCAGGCTGTTCAGCTGAGCAAGTTTGATTACAGACTTGCTAACAAGTTGGAAACTGATTTCCAAAAGCTTAGATGCAGGGTAAACTACCATGCTTTAAAATTTACTGCTCCCATTATTGAAATGGGTCAAACGTTGGTCAACCGAATGAGGAATATGGGAAAACACTTTGTTGCTCTGCATTTGAGGTATGCCTTTGAGGTTTCTTTACACCATTCCTGTTTCTTGGGCAAACATTACGTTGCCACTATTTTGTTTGAAAATTGCTTTTATTATACATAGAGAAACAGGGGCAGGTTCATTTGAGAACCCACTATTTATGATGAATATTCATGAATGAAAGTATGATATTCATTATGAATAATGTTCATTCATCATGAATTGTAGGTTCTCACTGTTCTCAAAATATCAAAATATTTGTTGTTCCTAATCATTCATGATGAATAGTTGTCTTATTGTTCCCGTTTCACTGCATATGCTGTTTTTTAGGATGTATTAGATTGTAAGTTGTGTCAGCACACTTCTTTATTTTTCAAGTTTCGTGATTTCTCTTAGGTTTGAACCCGATATGCTTGCATTCTCCGGATGCTATTATGGTGGAGGAGAGAAGGAAATAAAAGAACTCGGTAAAATACGGAAGAGGTGGAAAACACTACATGTAAGGATCCAATTCTCATGCTTAAGTCCATAACCTGAACCAGAAACCAATAACTTAGGCCATGTTTGGCAACCATAAGCCATCTTATTTTTTGAGCTTATTGAAAAAGCCCTGTTTGGTTAGCCATAAGCTAGCTTTTTGAAAACTATTTCAAGTAGTGGTTCAATAAGCTCTTGGGTTTTTTCCACTTTCTTCCAATTATGCCCCTTGTATTCTTCTGATTAGTTTTCAACATATTCTTTTAGGTCATTTTACATTATCATCTAGCTTGTTAGCTAGTTTTTACCAAACATGACTAGTTTATCAACTAACAGCTAGCTTGTTAACCAACAAGTAGCTTTTCAGTTTAATATACCCGGCTTAATTTTGTGGGTATATATATATTATTTGCAGATTAGCGATCCAGAGAAAGAAAGGAGACAAGGGAGATGCCCGCTTACACCTGAAGAAGTAGGTTTGATGTTGAGAGCACTCGGGTACGACAAAGATGTTCATATTTACGTGGCTTCCGGTGAAGTATACGGTGGGAACGAGACATTGGCTCCATTGAGGGCACTTTTCCCAAATATTCATTCAAAAGACACCATAGCTACCACACAAGAACTCGAACCGTTCTCGCCATTCTCTTCTCGTATGGCTGCACTAGACTTTATGGTGTGTGATCAAAGTGATGTCTTCGTTACTAATAACAATGGTAACATGGCCAAAATATTGGCTGGACGAAGGTATGTTCTTCTCTCTTTCCACGTACAGGATATATTGTATGCTTTATAAGATGTCAGATACGTTTAAGGGGTTGTTTGGTTGGTTTTCCATCAAGTCCTAAATGGATAAAGCTGTCTTTGTGGATTAATCTGTATGTACAAATTGGGAAGGTCTTTTTCATAGATGAAAGGAGCATGTTTTTTAATTGGGAAGGGTTGGTTTGGAAAAAACTTGACTTTCTGCATAAAGCTCGCCCCTAGAAGCTTACTAAATAAGTCACTTTTTATATCATTGAGCCTTTAGCTGACTGAATAAGTTGCTAGTCCTATTAAGCTCATTAAGCTATTAACGGGCATGGCCTAAATCTCCAAATGTACTTATTTATAGGACTTACGTTTATAGGACCAAACAACTGTGCGTTCTATGTAAAAGTGTTAAAGTAAGTCGGTAGGACGCTTTTGGGCATTATAACAATTTTTCATACTAGTGCAAAAACGTGTCCTATTAGCTTTTTTATAGGACACTTTTGAGAAAAAGTTCTATGAACACATCTTATAATACACGTTATTACAAGACCTTTTTTCAAATAATGTCGTAGAAAAAATCAATGGGACATATTATTTGAAAAGTGTCCTATCAACTTATTGCAACAGTTTTACATAGGACGCACAATTGTTTGGTTATATAAACTTAAGTTCTATATAACAATTTGTTAGGACATTTAGACATAATGATGATTGTGAAGTGATGGTTTTGTTGCGTTACAGGAGATACTTCGGACACAAACCAACAATACGTCCAAACGCAAAGAAACTGTATCGCATGTTCTTGGAACGAGAAAACATGACATGGGAAGAATTCTCGTCAAGAGTCGAGGCGCATCAGATTGGTTTCATGGGGGAACCAAACGAGGTAAGGCCTGGTCGAGGCGAGTTTCATGAGAACCCTACTTCTTGTATATGTGAACAAACAGATAAAACGGAACCCACCGCTCGAAAGATCAACACGGGTATTTCTGAGGCAGATGAAGTTGTTGATCCAGAAATGTACGAGGATGATGAAGATGAAGATATGGTTGTCTCCAATCTTGAATATCTTTTTAATGGCACAAATGTGGATGGTGTTCCTGAGGAAAATGAATTGGAAGAGTTGCTTTCAGATTGAATTTCAAGAAATCTTGATTTGTTAATTTGAGGTGAAAGCCATTTGTGGTTTGATTTGCAACAATTGTACAGAAGATGTAGAAATATTGAATGAGATAATGATATCGTCCATAAAATCGAACTTGATCGAAGATGTCGTGGTTGCTTGCTAATACCGAAACACGGGACTAGAGCCGGCCAAAAATCGGTCCCGGGCCGGGCCGGGCCATATCCAATTCGGTCCCGGTCACTATTATTGTAATACAAAAATGTTATTCTAATACACTTGAAAATATGTAATTGGATCAATTAAATACATTTAAAAATATGTTTTTTTGCGAGAATACGAGTCGAAATCACGAATTATAGCAAAAATTGTGAATGTTTGTGAGTTGGTATCTTCTCTCATACACCATATGACTTATATATAGTTAATAGAGGGTAAATGAGACGAAAAAAAAGTCAAAATGGGAGAAAACGGTTACAAGGTTGTTAGGTACTGGCAATATAATGGTAACAATTTTGAAAAACCGGGTCGGTCCTGGGCCGGACCTTCTTTTTTGATGAAAACTGTAATTGGTCCCTCATTGCCGGTCCTAAGTCGGTCCCGGTCCTGGACCGGACCCATTTGGCCATCTCTTCTTGGGATTGTTTACTTTCTGGTCGGGACTAAGCCTCAAAGCCCAACTAGGGTGAAAATTTGGGGTAGGATGGGCTTGAAAAAGCCTAGTTAAGCCCAAAAACAAAAGGTTGGATCATCATCAAACCCAAAGACTTGATTTTCATATGGGTTGGTTGGTCGGATTGAAGACATTTAAACAACTCAATTTAATGTTTGTGGTTTGAAAAATCTCAACTCAATTAAACCAAGCAAAACTACAACCCAACCCAAGTCATGTGGATTGGATCGGGTTGAAACTATGGTACATCAGTCTTCTATTTAGCTAAGTATTTTTGTTTAAACGAAGTAAAATTAAAATGATAACAAACAAAAAAGGGCTAAAAAAGAAGATTGAAAGTTCATGCAAATAATATACTAAAATTACGTTTGTAATTGTAATATAATTTTGAATATAATTACAGATTGGTCTAATGTCCAATGTTAATCAAATACGTAAGATTTATATTAAATCCATAGTAAAGAAGGCATTGGTTTCATCGGGTTGGATTGGGCTCAAATGACCCTAACCTAATTCAAATCCTGATTCCAAGTCAAATAGATGCGGTTTGATCTAATTTTGTATCAACTATGTGTCGGATTACCTCAAATTGAGTTGTTGTTTTTTTGGATTTCTTTGGATCGGATTAGTTGAGCCGGTCCGGTTGGTCGGTATTTTAAGCACCCCTATCAAAAACCTGCCAGGTTCGGGTCTAAAAATAACACAAGCCTTCTTTTTCCCGTTGAAAATTATATTGGAAGGGTCGGGTCCAAACAATCACGGCCCTTATGCATCCCCATACATGGCCTTACGACTTTGCAGGTGCTTGTGTTTTTTTAGCATGTTATTTTATATTAATTTGTATCCAGCTTATCAAATTAGTTTTTGTTAACGTTCAGGTTTTATATTCATGTATCACATGTGATAATATATGTGAGAAGACCTGGTGGTATGCAGACAACGTGCTTTGCAACCTAGGTCATGCTAAACCTGTCTACGTCTTTAATTTAATATCACATATAATAGATTATAGTATCATATCAAAAACACTCATTTTAATACATAATTTCAGATGAAGAATATAATCTATAGTGGATTTTGGTTGGTTAGGGGGTGTGGGTGGGGTTCGAACATTTTGAATCCTCAAATTTTGACCATGAAAACGAAGGTCAAGGAATCGTGGGGGATCTTGTGGGTACCTCTTCACTCCAAAAAAGAGGGACATTGGCATCAAAGTTATCCATAACAAAAATCAACTATTTTTTTTTTAAATTCAAATATTTTATATATTGTATTATATATATATATATATATATATATAATATTTAAAGAGATTAAGGGGTATTTGGAATTGCATATTAAAAGAAGTTATGTTTTTCTACAAAAACTCTTATTAATTTATTATAAGTTAGAATGAATTAACTTTTAAAAAAAAAAATATTACCGGTTTGACACCGATATAAGTTGTTTATACAAACACTTAAATTTTTTTATTACCGATGTCACACTGGAACATGTTAAAATAAGTTGTTTTTATAAGCAATCTCAAACAACCCCTAAATAGATATATTCTTATCAAAAGGTTCAAAGATTAAAAAAATAAAAATAAAAATATTAAAAATGTAGGAATACGTGAATTATTGGTAAATTTAAAAAAAAATCATTTACGAATCAACATTCACTTGTGTTTTTAATCAATTATTCACATATGAAGATCTAAATGTAGACTTCTGTTTCATTTTATCAATTATTCACATATGAAGATCTAAATGTGAACTTATTCAAACTTTAAAGACCTGTTAGTTAGTTACTGAACGGTTTAGTACAAAATGATTAAGTTATCAAAATGATTAAAAGGTTCACATGGAATATAATTGTTTACAATGAAATTAGGGTGTTGAATGATTAAAAAAGATCCTAATGCAAAATCATTCGGATGATTTTAGAACCATTATATAAGAGATAAAGACTTTTCTTTTGCAAAATAAGATTCATCTCTTAACGATTCAAAGACTGTTTAGAACTATTTAGAAATAAACATACAGCCGTTTAGTATATATATTTGTATACTTAGACAAAAATCGATTATTAATAACCCTAATAAAAAATTGGATGGGCTTTTTTTTATTAATCGTATTTTTTATTAAAACGAGTGTTTTGCACTCACTTAATGAGTGAAGTTAATAAGATACTCTTGATAAAACCTAATATATGTCATCTTGTCCATTTTCCACGTGGCCTACACGTCAATATGTTTATTAGGGCATCTTCAGTAGAGTATCATGGACTGTCACATCAGCATTCCACTCACCATACAACTTTATCATTTTATACCCACACTCTATAACACTCCAATGAGTTTAATGGATTTTCACATCATATATATATATATATATATATATATTATCTATAAATATAATTTTACCAACAAATTTAAAAATCTACTAAAAACAAGGAATAATACATTAAAATGAAAATGAAACGAAATTAAAATACATTTAATAAAAAGTACGAGACTAAAATACATCAGTTAAAAAATACCAAAGCTAGAAAATGAAATGCTTAAACACCAAATAATTTAAAACTATAAAACCTAAACACATTAAATAAAAAACGACGATGCATACAAATTATATAATAGTGTGTATATATATATATATATATAATATCATAATTAAATCCTTACAAATTTAATTATAAAAGAAAAAAAATTAGTGGGTCTCATCTTCCTCCCCATGATGCGTACAATGACAATTAACCTCTTCCCCATTAACCTCTCATGACACTCCCTTCACGATACATGATGTATGTCATGGTTCCCACTAACCTCCCCATGACACTCCATTGGATATGCTCTTAGTTTACAAGTTTTTGATTTTTTCAATTTCCAATTATTTTTTAATATTTCCATAAAACACAAAAAAGAAAAAAAAAATGAAATATAGGATTTTGCATGGTTTGGTTTCCTAGTTTTAGTCCAACGCCACATATGTTGTTGTCTTTTCAGGTTGACACGTGGCATTACTTTCAACCGTGACGGCCATGTCACTTGCTGAGTCACAAGTAAGATCATACGTTGGCACCTTATCCATTTCTCGAGATTTCTAAAATTAACATTTGGATTTTTTTTTATAAAACTTTACAAGCCACGTATATTTTTATTTATTAAATTGGTACACGTACAATAAAATAGATACATTTTGATTTTAATGTTTTATTTTATTTTTTTCTCTATCGATGTTATAATACGGTTTTATGTGGTTTTGAGAAAACAATAATGTTTTTTAAATAAAATATAAATTTAAAGATAACATAAAATTTTTTTTTAAAAAATATCGATCTTAGGGACCGTTTACCTAAACATTTACCGATAAAATTCAACACTATTGCTTACTTACCGAGTTAGATTTTATTCACTAAAACGCATCATATGCAACAATTTATCCCGGTAAGTGTTAATTATGGTAAGAGTCCTCGTCCTCACTTACCGGGTAAGACTCTCGTTTCTTGCCTTGGCTCTTACCGGGTAAGATTATTAGCCTTTGTCATATTTATCCGGTAAAGTAAAGTGACTTGGTAAGCACCTGGATAGGTGTTTGGTAAATGACACCTTAGTATCAATTTAACTATTTAAAAGTTATATTTTTTGTGTAATTAATTTAATTTAATTTAGGTTTGATAAATAAATAATTTATTTTTAGTTTAATTTAATAAATTCTTATAAATATAATATTTAAGTATTTTATTATAATGATTATCTTAATTATATTTTAGATTTTTTTATATTTAAAATGAGATGTTTATCCTGTTACGATTATGAGTATTAGTTATTAGTTACACAAATTCAAACCAAGATGTTTTCATAAATTGTACTTACGCACAATTTACTTCTAAATTTGAATTTTAAGTAATATGTATCAATAAACAGTACTTCATACATAAAAAATGGTTTTTAAGAATTTTTGTCAAATATTTTAATGGTTTACTTTCTCATACATTTACATCATGTTGGGCTAAGTAGTGTGCACCTTTAAGTAACCATGAAGTTAAGAGTTAAACATGCCATCAATAAAAAAAATGGCTCTAAGAATGCATTGAGTATATTAAACAGGGATAATGAAATTTTGTTGTTATGTTGGTAGGACAATTAGAATGGGCTGAACAAAATAGGACTAAACTGAACAAAAATGCCCTTTTTTGTCCGACCTAATAGGTGGAACAAAAAATAAAAAGATGTGACAAGATTGGTAAATTACTAAACTACACACATCAAATTAAAAGCTTAAAGCCTTATATGGTGATTTTGAGGACTTGAAAAGATTACTCCATGTCCCAAATGCGTCCATCAGTAATTTAGTCTTTCCACAAACATGTCATTAACAGAAGTGAACCACGTAAATGACAAAACAAAATACAGTAAACAGAGGATGTAAACAAGTTATAAGCCTTGTGAATAACACAATTTCTGTAAGGGTCGATCCAATATAGGTGATTCTATCAAAATGATCTGCCTTTAAAAATGCATGGAGATGGGATCTTTGATAGAAGACCCTCTTTTTTTCTTTCTTTCTTTCTATCACAAGGAAAATGTGAAGGGTGATCCAAAGCAGGGATCGTTTTCTTCAAGACACGTTTTTTTTTGCATACATCATGCAAACAGTCGTCTAAGAGTGAAAGCGTGTTGGGATGGCACAAATGAAGATTCTTTATAGAGTTGCAACTCGTGTTTCAAGAAAGGAGCTAAACGGTACAACTAACTTGTCAGGTATACCCACTTTGTAATTTGTAGAGATTTTGGAGGCGTCAAGTCTAGACAAAATCTAACCAAACAAACAAAGAGTCTCACACTCTCACACCATCAAACGAATTAGGGTGAGGGGGAGAAGATACTCATGCCAATCTCTATTCCGAGGGGTAGATATGTTGTTTTAGTAAAGGATACTGACCTGAAAATAGTCGTTGGAAACATAACTTTGAGAGCAACGGTTTACACTGAAGGTCAGACAGAAGCTTGCAATACAGGAAAGTGATTAAATATAAGTGAAAGAAGGTAACAAGCAGTAAATTAAGTACTTATGAACATTATAGCCATATGATAATGTACTAAAACATTAAACAAACTGAAAACGAAGTATATTCTGACTTTCTAACCCTCCCACAACCTACGACTCGATACCTACCCGACCATCATAGTACAACAAATACCTACCTTTCTATTCCGTAACCCATCCCAACCCTCACCTCGAATTACCTGCCCATTGCCTTCGTTGCCCTTATTAACTATGACTTCTTACACGCTATATGCTACCCTAGTCATGTGTCTCTATTAACTCATGTATGAGGTTAAGTTTTCTGAAGTCTAAGACCGTTAGGTCTAGTTTCAGTTGCACATCAAGTGTGTTGACCATATTATGAGTTTATTCGAAACATATATTAATATGTATGATAAATGAGAAGTTCTAAATCATAGTATTTCAGAAATGAAAGTTTTGATCTCATAATATATATAGAGAGAGAGTTAGGTCTATACGAGAACGGTAACCAAATAAGATAATAAGAACGGTCGAATCACTTGTGATTTTATACTAAAATTACGTGTAAATTAAATCACATATGATTTACACGACTGTGACAACTTAAGATCATAGGTCACGTTACCCATGCACCTTTGCATGATCGTTAGTGTAGAAACACATGCAATTTTACACATTATTTAGCTGTTTTGGTTATCTTTTAATCAAACCACCCCATCAAACTGTATAGATATAGGTTCTGGAAGGTATGACGTACAACTTTGACTTAAAATGGTACACACACACACACACACACACACATATATATATTAGTGGTTAAATTAAATAAGAAACACAAAAAAATTATAAACCCCGTGATAATCGATTTTAAAATAATTTTTTACATGGTTTTTTTTCATCAAATGCTAGGATTTAAGTCTTTAAGATATTGTTTCATAATATGATAGTTTCACATGTATTTGTTTCAGCACGTGAATATTTATTACATAAATTTTTCATTTCACCAAGTGAAACAAAAAAAAAAAAAAATTTACATGTAGGGGTTGTTTGTTTACCTCTTAATAGTTTTATTAAGAGACAACATTTGAATCATTAAGAGATGAATTTTGTTTGACAAAAAAAAAATTCTGCCTCTTAATGATTCTAAAACCCTCTGAATGATTTTGTATCCCGAGTCTCCCTTAACTATTAAGCTCCCTGATTTCATTGTAAATAATTACGAAACAATTATATTTTGTTTTGCACTATATATGAAATTTTTTTAATCATTTTGACAACTTAATAATTCTGCACCAAACCATTCAGCAACTACCAAACAACCCCGTAATTTTTTCATTTGGTGAATACAAACATATGTAAAACAATATCTTAAATCATAATTTTTTATAAAAAAAAATCATATAAAAAATATTTTATGTTGGTTCTCACGAGTTTATAGCATTTTTGTGGTTCTCACTTGATTATCACATATACACACACACTCTTTCTATATATATATATATATATATATATATATATATATATATATATACTTGAGATTATATGAAGTTATGCTATTTTTGTAAAAATATATTTTTACATTTGAAATTTTATAGTAAAAACAATGTAAAAGTCACCTCAAATTAAGCCATATTTCAAGTATAAAAATATGGCTTTACGATTACACGAAAACAAGTCGTAAACTAAAAAAAAAAACCCTCTATATATATATATATAAGGTTGGGTTTAGTTTTTGTGTGACCCGTAAATATATATACACGTGTCAAGTGTGTGAGAGAGAGTGAAAAAAAGACCGTTATGGCCCTTGCCACGTGTCAACAAATCAATGGCCTATCAGATATAGAATGACCATCAATGGCGGAGCCCACCTTCAGCTCCGGGATTCTCAAAACTTCTTTAAAACACGCCCATTCCGATCATCTCATACAAACACAAAACCTCAAAATCCAGCTTTCATCACTATCTTCTCCTTCTTCAACCAAAACTGCTCACACCCTTAAAGATTTTGCTGCTCAGATTTCCTCCTCTTAAACTGTGGATTTCAATCTTCTATCTTCAATGGCGTATCAAAGTCTTGAAATTTTAGTTTAAAATCAGGCGAGCCACGCGAATTTTACGATTTCCTTTTTTTGGGGGAGGGTTAATGGTTATGAGGTTTCTAGATAAAATAAATGCAAACTAGCGTTTTAATTTTATGTGTTTCTGGGCAAAATCCATTAGGTTCATGATGGCATTTTCTTGATTACAAATAAACATAAATCAAATTTTCGATAATGGCATCCAACCCGGCGGTGCCGCCGACATTTGGTTTGCGGCTGCGGAGGTCGGAAGCGGATTTTTGTCCACCGTTGCTTCTCCGGCGGAGGGTTATGATTCGCGGCAGCGATTGCAAGATTTCTTGTTGCTGCTCCGGCAAGGTAGTGCCGATCCGGAGAATTGCTGTCGGGTCGGGTCGTAAATGTGGGAATAAAGCTGATGAATGGCCGATTGAGTTGAAGAAGAAGACCCACAAAGTTCGAGCTCAAGCTCCCCCTGCATTGCCCTTCGCATCATCTCAGTATGTATTTCTACATGATACATTGTCTTTTTAGGATCACAGTGGCTTAACTTTTTTGCGTAATAAGTATATATAATTGTCTTTGATGATGTGATGGTGCTTCTGTGTTCAAAGATTGGATACCAGTAAAGCATTTACTGGAAGAACTAAAAGAAATGGCTACTTCCTGAAGAGTTTGACATGCCAAATTGTTAACTTTTGTATGAATTTGTAGAGCATACAGTAATTAGAACATACATAGATACAGTAAATGTGCAGAAAAGTACTGTGGATTCCAGAAATCAGAATGTGTGCATTTGATAATTTATAAAGGAGTGATCTTGATTGTGAAGCTGAAAATGGTTTTTTTGATGGGGAAAACCCGAAAGAGGTAATCTTGGTAGGAAGAGGATGATGGTTTGTTTCGTTATGCTTTCGGGATATACAGATTGTTAATGTGCTTTTTGGGTGCGGTTTCTTGATTTGCCATTAGGATGTAATAAGACTGTTAGGGGGTTTCAACTGGGGGGCTGGCTTAACAGAATTTACCTTTCATTTGAAAGTCTAAATGTGATCTTATTGTATTAGAATTTAGAAAAATACTTGTTTATAATCTGTAATTGGTTCTGTTTTTTGCCTATCGCAATTCTTTTGGATAAAGTGCTCGTTTTTGTATAAGAATCTTTCATTTCCAATCAAAAGTCCGATCTTAATGACTTTTGGTCTCTAGGTTTTCTTAGGGTATGGTTAGAAAATGTCGGATGAATTTCATGACAATGATTGGTTGGTTTTAGCCTTTTAGGAAGAGATTCTTATCAGTTGTTTATGAGCATAAAACATTCAATTTGATCTACAAATGGAACTACGTCATGCCTGGTTCATGATCATCCATCGAAAAAGTTCTTCGTTGGAAGTTGGAACTACATTATGTTGTGGTTCGTCCATATAAAAGGTTCTTCGTGTGCCTGAAGTTTGAAATTTAACTTGCATTCTAATTGCTGTAGATCTCTGATGCCTTCTAGACAAGAAAAGTTCTTTCCACGCTGTACCCCCAGAAATTCTGGGCCACAATCTCGTGACACTCCACCTAAAAGAGGTAACTTTTGACGCTTTCTTGAACTTGCAGTGTGCGTTATATTAGTGAAATATTATCGAGTAATAGTTACATCTATCTAATGATAGATAAACCATGGTGACGGAGGCCTTGGTGTCTTTTATGTACCCTTATTTCTGAGTTTCTTCCCGCCTGCTAATGTATCTATAATTTGCTGTTCTTTTTAATTGTAGACACGGGTATTGCAAATGAAAAGGATTGGGGCATTAGTTTAAGTGAACATGTTAATGAATCTGGAGTGAATGTGGATGGTAGTAGCTGGTATAGAGAAAGTGGAGAAGATTTTGGTGAAAATGGATTGAGATGTAGATGGACAAAGATGGGTGGTCAAAGCGATGATGGCTCTTCAGAATGGAAAGAAACGGTATTAATTACTTATAGATATGGCTTCGATGTATGAACTCCGTTGATGGTAATGTAGAAAATCAATAATCCATTTGAAGGAAATTACTAGTTTGGCCCTGTTTTTGTAAGTTTGTAAGCTTTAACATGCAAACTGATTGTAAGGACTACTCTTGATCTTATTGTAAGTATGAAAATTTCAACACTTTCCCTGTTAAAACAATTGCTTTTATGAAAAGATTCCAAATTAAATTACCTGTTTTATTTGCTTATCATCATTATTACAAATAAATTGATGTCATAGGTTTGCACAAGATTCCTTCTATTCTATTGTAAAGGGTATTTTAGATATTTCATAAGTAAGAATGAAATGATTTTTCATTTCTATCCGTAGCAGAATGATATATTTATTGTTTCCAAAGAATCCCGTATTAGATGGAGCTGCCTTTAGCTAAGTTTTCATTAAAGCGACAGAAAGGAAGTAAATAATAATGGTATCATTCATTTGTTAGAAGTTCTTGCCAACATTGTTTCCATAACGTTATCAAGTATCACCCCAGGTGGATGCATTAATCGGATTTGTTCATGTCATTGACAGTGGTGCGAGAAAAGTGATTGGAGCGGATACAAAGAGCTAGGTATACTACTGGTCAATGCATCTTATATTTCTCTCCAATTAATTTTTCATCATGTCCTTTTAGGTCATTTTACATTGTCCTTTAGCTTGTCAGCTAGTTTTTACTAGCCTATCAGCCATCAACTAGCTTTTAAGCTAGTTTTTACTAGCCTATGAGCCATCAACTAGCTTTTAAGCTAGTTTGCAGACCTAGCCAAAAGAGTTAACAAACAAGGTTTTGGATGTTTGTGTCTACGCTAAATTGATGAATATGTTTTGCCATGAGAGTTGACCATGTGGTTAAAGTTTCTTATGGCTTTCACCCTTCAATGTAATTGATACCACAAGTGCCCACACGTACTTTTCTTAATCTTTGCATTCATTCAAGCAATGGTACTTAATTGAGTTAAAATTAAGATAATACTACGATGATCATGCAGGTGTCGAAAAATCTGGAAGAAATTCTGAAGGGGATTCATGGTGGGAAACATGGCGAGAAGTTCTTTACCAAGATGAATGGAGGTTGATATAGTAATTTCAAGAAGTTATGCATCTTTCTTCTAGAGGGTACACTCATTTTTCATCTAACAAACCAATCGGTTCTCTGAACTGCAGTAATCTAGCAAGGATCGAAAGGAGTGCACAAAAGCAAGCAAAATCAGGCACAGAAAATGCCGGTTGGTACGAGAATTGGTATGGACCTCCTTTTTCCTGTGGTTGTACTTTATGGGAACGGAAAAAAGTAGTCTTCTTTACTACTGGACACAATTGTTTTGATGTAGGTGGGAGAAGTATGATGCCAAAGGTTGGACCGAGAAAGGAGCACATAAATACGGTAGACTAAACGATCAGTCATGGTGGGAGAAATGGGGAGAGCATTACGATGGAAGAGGATCTGTTCTAAAATGGTATTCCCTTTTACCACATAATTCCGCGTTGTCCAAAAGAACATGTGTTTGGAATCACCATACTTGTTTTTTCGTTGTAAACCATCCATCATTTCTGCTTAATTGCCCAAGGAACACTATGAGGTCCAACATCGCGTATTCTTAGCCCTTTTCTTTAATGGGATATAACGGGTTCTTTTTGTTTGGTTATTTTCTGTCGAAAATCGCGTGTTCTGGCCAAGTTTAGCTCTTTTCTCTAATGGGTTTTCAAGAAAGTTGGTTAATTTGCAATGAAAAGGGAAGTGGATGGTTAAAAAGTCATCAATCTTTCCTGAAGTGGCATCTAAGGTCTCTTAATGTCTGTGTTTTCTTACTCTCAGGACTGACAAATGGGCTGAGACTGAACTCGGAACCAAATGGGGAGACAAATGGGAAGAGAAGTTTTTTGCGGGTATTGGTTCTCGTCAAGGAGAAACATGGCATGTATCCCCTGCCGGTGAACGTACGTCTTCTTTTTTAACCACTGATGACGAGCTTGATAGTTTGCTTAAAACCATACTCCCTTCATCCCAAAATACGTGTCCACATTTCTATTTCATCCGTTTGGTCCAAAGTAAGTGTCCATTTTCTACTTCTTCTCATAACTATGAGATGGAGAACTTCATTGCTCCCTCTGTTAAGGGTAAAACTGTCATTTAGTTGGTTAAAAAGTGTAATAATTACGGATTCTTAAAGCTCTGTCTTTTACATTTATTTTGGGACGGAGGGAGGAACACTGAACCAAATAATCTACTAAATGTTTTCATTCATGTATCAGGTTGGTCAAGGACATGGGGGGAAGAACACTTTGGAAACAGGTAGTTTGTTAAAACTAACGAATAAGCTTCTTTCGTATGGTTGACTACATTGACTCTGGTTCGTTATCTAAGCTTATGTTTGAGCTTAGTGAAAAATCTTCGTTTGGTAAGACATAGGGGCTGTTTTATTGGTTTTCCATTGAGTTCTGTATGGATAAAGTTGTTTGCGTGGATTAATCTGTTTGTATGAATTAGGAAGGTTTTTAAATTGATGGAAGGAGCGTTTTTCTAATTGGGAGGGGCAGGTTCAGGAAAAACTTGTCTTTCTGCATAAAGCTCCCTCCTAGAAGCTTATTGAATAAGTCATTTTGTATATCATAACCCACTACCAAGTAGTCATGTATAGCAAACCGAATAGGCCGAGTCCATTAAGCTCGTTAAGTTGTTAACAAACAGGTCCATAGAATAGCTTATAAGTTAGCTTTCTGAAAAGCTGCTTCAAGTAGCGTTTCAATAAGCTTTTTTTTTTTTTTTCCCTTTTTTCCTTCAATAATGCTCCTTATATTTTACATAAATGATCAAAAACCCAGTCCTTTAGGTCATTTACATTGTCGTCTACCTTATCCATTAGTTTTTACCATTTAACAACTAGCTTATCAGCTAGTTTGCCTTGGTGTCAAAATCAAAATCTCAGATGTGTTTCTGGTTGTAGCAGCAAGGTGCACAAGTACGGAAAAAGCACAACGGGTGAAAGTTGGGATATTGTGGTACACGAGGAAACTTATTACGAGTAAGTTGTTTTTTTCTTCCTTTTTTAGTTAAAACTCGATGTGCGTTGACTGATCTAGAGTGTTGTGATTGAAGGGCTGAACCCCATTACGGATGGGCTGATGTCGTTGGTGATTCAAGCCAATTGTTATCGATCCAGCCACAGGAGAAACCTCCAGGCGTTTATCCGTATCCTGATTTTGGGTCGTCACCGACACCTAAAAATGACAGGCTTTCGCCCCCGTGATATCAAGAAATCATGTTGATTATTTCCAATCTTGGTTATTTTAGGCATTTGGTGTTATTGGTTTTCTTTTTGTTCATGGCCAATTAATTTAATTATTGTATTGTTTTGATAGACATTGTTGATTCATTTAGTGTAGGCTTTTTTAATGTTCACAGGCCCCATGATTTGATTCTTGTTCATCCATTAGCCCTCAAATCCAATTTCTAATTCATGGTGTTCGATTGGTTTGAGCTTGGACTTCAAAGATCAAAAGTGTTTGGAGGTCATAGGTTCGAATCTAAGGAGAAATTAAGATCCCCTTGTAGCCACGAATGTTCAAATACGATTCGCGGATGGTCGTCCTGAGATTAATCGGCTTGTATAGCGGATTGGATATCCAAGTTAATCAAAAAATAAAGTTTGAAGTTCATGGACATCTTCAACAGATTTGACAAAGAAAATAGAGATGTTAGGTAATATATTTCTAAATTTAAAATTAAATTTATTATTATTAAGACAAATTCTATTCCTGTAAAAAGCTACCGTTTCTATATTAAAATACAAATAATTCCTAAAAACACCCCAATATTATCTTCATATTTAACCTTTTTCATAATTTTCATTTCAACCCTCGTATGTTTTTAATTTGTTATTTTTCACCCTGAGTTGCATGGTGAAAAAAGTAAGCGTATTTTTAAAGTAAGAAATACTTTATGTATATGGGAATTTTTTTTTAGAACCTATGAAATTATGATAATCTTGATAACTGATGAATCTTGTATTATTTTATGTGATTTTTTTATCTATAACTTGGATTTAGTGTGTTGGAACTTGGAGTAAAATTTATTTATTTCACAATACATCTGTTTCACATATATTTTGTTTCATAATAAGAACATTTTTATGAGTTTGTAAAACAAAAAATACAACTAAAAAGTTTCGTATTTTAAAATGAATACATATGAAACAATTACATTGCAAAACCAATATATATATTAACCAATACATTAAATCCAAGCCATAGATGAAAAAAAATCATGTAAAATAGCATATGTTATATCAGTTCTCAAGATTATTACAATTTATTAGGTTCTCAAATAATTAAACCCAATAAATATATATATAACTGTGAGAACCAATATTAACCACAAATCAATAGATAAATTGGGAAATTTATAATTTTGGCAATTTTTGAATTAAAATCTTAATGCAAGGATATTTTTGGTATTTTAAAACTCTCCTCCCTCCTCTCTTCTCTCTCCGGCCACCGTCCTCCGGCCACCGTCCTCCAGTGATACTACAATGGTATCACAATGCATCATATATGTGTTTGGGTATCACATTGATGTCGTTTGTGTGGTCGATCGAAGATGT